ATGTAGCTGCCATCACCAGTGTGTGAATGTGTGTGTGAATGGGTGGATGACTGGATGTAGTGTAAAGCACTTTGGGGTCCATAGGGACTGAGTAAAGCCCTATACAAGTACAGGCCATTCTTATTCTTAGTTAAATAACTTTGAACATCAAACTAGAGACTCAAAGTAATCAGTTTTTTGTATATGACTAGAAAGACAAAATGTCACAATCTGTTGCAACCCTTGTTTTTTTATTAAGTTACCATTCTTACCTCAGAGTTGTTTCTAAGGTCTCCTGGGAGAGTGCTGGTTTCTTCTGCTGATTTTTGTGTTGAATACTACTTTCTCAGTGGTTCAGTTCGGGGCAGTGAAATAACTAATGTGTTCTGTCATTACCGCAGGGAAGCAAAGTGCTGTGCAGCTCCAAATGAGTTCTGACTAAACATCGGGGGAAGCCAAACAGGTGGTTCATTGACCGACTCAAAGGCCATTGAGGAAAACAGCCTGCACACTTCAGTAAAGGACTTTTTCTGGTGGTTTTTTTCCTTTTTTCTTTTCCAATGGCTCTGGTGGAGAAAAGAGTGGCAGGGAGGCAGAGAGAAAATGTGTAAAGCAGAGTGAGCCGCTGTGGTGAGCCAGCAGTAACCAAACCCCAACTGGAGGAAACCACAGGCAAATGCGCTGCAATCACTGAGGGATATAGCCACAACAGTTTGCACATTCACACAGGCCCAACTACACAGTTTGACATAATAGAAAGTTAAACTGTGGCTCCGTGGTCGTACCGTAGCTACAGCTCGCATTAAAGCTGCATTCGGTCACAGAAAGCCTGACATCGTCCAGGTTATTTGAGAGGTCTGCTTTGACAGCGCGTCGCGGCACGTAATGCCAAGAGAGCAGAGCAAAAGGGTGCAGTGAAAGGACTGCAGCCTATTGCACTAATGGATGCAACCCATATGTTTTGAGCCTGCTTAAAAGCCCGGGAAAGTGATTGAAAAGCTGTTTGACATCTGCTATGCTGTTTGCCGCCGCTGCTTTGCCACTCTCCGAGGCCCGGCACCA